GGTTGCCTTGCAAATGAACTGGAAAAACAGGTCTGCATTTTCAGCACCGTTCACAAATCTCTACATAAATATATCAGCAAGTATTAATGCAATATGACAAATGCCTGATGCCAACATGTGTTTCCACCAAAAATGAAGCTCCTGATTTTGCAGACGCTTTTAAGAATGATTTTTATTTGCCCCCAAATCACTGCTCAACTGTCAAGACACGAATGCTCCAGCAAACCATTTCTTAAATACTTAAGACAATTACTGCACATGAGAGGAAAGGAAATAGGCACTAGACTTTTAATGAAGTTCTCCGGATGGAAATGTGTTGCTCTAAATCAGCTCAAAGCACAGAGGCGTCGCGGTGCAGCACTGATTCGCCTCTTGAGCGGCAATATGGTCTGCAGTCAATTAAAATATATGTCTGCCTCGGAGGATAAAGAATTCTCTAACAACAAAAGAACTGCCGCAACCGTCGTCTTGAGGGACAAACTGCTCTCATGCAGAGACTTCTAGTCTGAGCAAAGTGCTTATTTAGTCCACACTGGCTAACATATTTTAAGATAGTTGTGCCCTTCCCTCCCATAGCAGCTTGTGGAAATCTGTTTTTAAGGCAATTGTCAATCTGAATTTTTGGAAAGGGTAATCACCTTTCTCCAAACTGCAACTGCAATTTACACATTTTCTTTATTTAAATATAACATTATCCTATATATGCTGTATCTAATAGGATTCTATCCTATATAGAGGTATCCTTCCTGGCCTCAGCTGGATGCATAGAGACAATACATCACTGYATAATTGAAACARTCTTAACAGCACTGCATTWTTTWAAGAAAAACATCTTTTACAWGAAATTCTYTCTTGATTTTAAATATTTCTGTTCSAGCGAGGACAACATTTCTGGTGACTGAGAAACYGTGCCCAGTACCAGATTCCCAAGCCGTTAGCAAGCMCRTGGGATTCGGGATATGTGGGCTAAAATCCTGCTTTTGGTGAACATCCAAATACAGGAAAGACACCTACAAAAGCCCTGGAGAGGGCAGGGTCCATCCCAGCCCCAGACGGACACACGGATGGGGCACAAAGACTTTATGGAGATGCAGGGGCCATTTGAGAAGCGGAGCCTTTCTGCAAGCTAAGCTGTTAGCTTAAGAGCTACCTAGAGGCAAGACTGCCTTTACTAATATTTAAGTTATAGCTGCAGTTATTTATGCTTCATTTTATTATTTTGTAAAGCTAGACACACCATTCTTATTGTCATACATTTGCCTAAGGATATACGTTATAATTTAGTGCCATGGTTTTTATGTGCATATTCATTTTTTTGAAGTTTTATCACCTTATYTCACTATTTTTACTTTTGCAAGTGCTTTATAATACTTCTGAACTTCCGCACAACCTTATATGAAACCACTGCTACCAACAAAACCATTGCAGTCATTTACAGATCTTCTTTCACTTACTCTTGCATTGCAGAAAGTTATATTAAAAATAAATGCAGGATAATGCAAAATATTTTTAGGCACGTCCAGTTTTCATTTTGCATTCGTGGGGCAGCTGGAGAGCAAGGAGATGGACGAGCAGTCAGGACAGCGCACAGCCCGTCATTCTTGTGCTCAGCTGCTCCTATTGCAAAGGCAGCCCTTTAGCAAGAGCTAAACTCGTCTTAGTAAAGATTATTATTAAACCTAATGCCCAAATCAACCCTTTAGGTGAAACCCTGCCCTTGCCGGGAGCAGGATGGTGCACGTGGAGCACGATGACAGACGCGGCTGTGTGGCCACGGAGCTGCCCCTCTCGCAGGCARGGCCTCCACCAACGGGAGGGCTTAAATAAACTCAGAAACAAACACGTTTGCTCCAATAAATCCCTCTCATTTTAGTCATTTCTCTCCCTAAATTGCTCTGCAATTCACTGCATTTTCCCCAGCCCCTTTCCCAAGGTTTGACTCACGCGCTAGGCTTGCCAGCAGTAACCCCCTCCTGCAGACTTTTCTGCTGAGACAGAATAAATGAAAATGAAGGGCAACCCTCATGCGCAGGCTGAGGTCACCATGGGGGATGGAGCCTCGGTGGGGCTGGGTGAGGGCAGATGCTCCTGACGTGCAGAGGGCAATGGAAGCACCAGGCTATGCTGCCGCACGGACCACGAGGCTGCGACCACAGGCAGCAGGTCACACGTGTCCTGCCCTCTTAATAAATCACATTAGTTTAATTTAAATTGGGTATTAAGAGTGGTAGTGAAATGGTACGGATGTTTGCATCCCGTTACCTTCAACGTAGATGAACTACTTCACTTGTACGCAGACCTGGCACAACAGCTGATGCTGTGCAACCTCTAGCTCTGGATTTCTTGACTTCTGAACGACTAACAGAGCAACAGTTCTGCTCTAACAGGTGGAAGATGTCATCAGTTTAATKKTTTTTTTTTTAAATAAGTATAAGCCTTTGCAGAAGCTATCTGAAAATAGATTATTTGTAACCACTTTAAAAAGACAATAAAAAAATTGTTATAGATCTCAAATGACCACCTTTGGCTTGCTAGCTCGAGAGCCAGGCCTCCATCCCATGAGGAATAACCATAATGTGCATCAATATTACCAGCTGAAAATTGTAACACAGAACCACTGCTTCCCTAATTCTAGTTATCACACTCAATAAAAATCAATAAGAGATGAGACTTTGCATGTTGTACTCACTTGTTTTTGCCAAACCATCTATTTCTAACAGGAAAAAAAGAAATTGTTATTTCAGCTTCCAAAAGGGCATCCATGCTGAGAGGAACGGTGGCTTATTACTGCTACCGCTGCTGAAGARTGCTTCAAGCTTTTCATGAAAACAATATTAGAAACATTCCAAGGTCCATTTGAATTAGCCTTGCCAATCCTTACACATTTTTCTTYCTGAAAATTAGTAACTGCAGATATGAGCACTCATTTTTGAATGGCTATGAATGCAATTTCCGATGTTTGTTAGCACCGTTCCCTCCCGCATGTTCTTTACAGGAAAACCTCCAGCTTGCAGCGGCCCGTGCCCTTGCAGGAGCTCGCGCTGCGGGACAGCACCGTGATCCTCACAGAGGGACATCGGCCCGGTTATTACCTATCAGCTGGGGGCCTTGAGGCTGCTCAGGGAAATAGTTTTTTTGTATGTGGTTTTCATTTTAAAATCGGTTAATACATAATTTCCATTCACCCATTCCCATTTTCTCTTTATCGATAAAAAAAAAATTAAAAAATACATGATTTCTCCTTTACTTGATTCCCTCCTCCCTCCTAAACAAGTTTCTTCCGTGTCATGGCTTCCTACCATTAAACCACCCTGGGGTTAGAATAAGATATGTCTCTATTTTAACGCCCGTGAGGGCTGTGTGAGAAGAAGCAAGACCCGACAGAAATGCACAGGACTTTGGGGATGCACCTTCCTGCTTAGGTGCATTCTGGTAGCAACTGGCCAGGAATATTCAGAAAATCAGAGCAGCCCCCTGCACAGACATGGTCCTGCAGAAGAGGCTGCAGAGATGTTGTCAGGAAAAAATACAGCAAAAAGGGTCTCTGGAGATGTCTTAACAAGAAGCAGCCTTCCCAGAAGAGGATAACAGGAGAAAGGTCGGGCTTAAGCAAAAAGTGCTCTAAATTCCAGCTCATTCCTTTGGGACTCACACAGAGATCCAGGAGTTTACTTTCCATCCTTTTTCCCCAAATTCTCTTAATAGGGATGAGAAACATCAACAGCAACCCCAACAAAGACAGCAAAAAAATGCGCTGCCAAATTAAATAATTTACRTAAGCACAAACATTTCCAAGGGCAGCCTGCTGGTAAGAGGGACCAGCAAAGAAAATCAGAATTTTGTTTATGGTCTTGGTTCCCGGGGAGCATCCGCACGGCGTCCCCACAGCCCCCAAGTCACCCGGGCTTTACAGGGAGCAACACACAGACCAAAGGACCGGGTGCTGGTGGGACTGCTCGTGGTGACCTTACAGGAAGGTGCTACCATTTTGAAGCTCYGCAAGTGGATAAGAGTAAATGAAAATTAAATGGAAAAAAAAGAAGCTAAAAATCCTAATAAAATTGTACCTAATCTCATTATATATTCTTTTGCTTATCTCTTTTTTTTACTTTAATAATTCCTCTTGTGTACTAGAGAATAACAGGGCTGATTTGTGCCCAACGATGCAAACTGTTGCATAAACATTTATTAAAATTGCCCAATTTTCATTGCAGTTTCGCTCGATTCGGGCAGAGTCCAGACCCGAGCATGGGACGCCGGCGCGTGGGGCAGCCCCTCGCTGCCAGCCCCTCGCTGCCAGCCCCCCATGCGCGCGCCTGTTGGGGTTTTCCCTGGAATCGCCCCCAAACAGCCCAGCCTGACCCACTGCTGCCCCCAGGGACATCCACAAAGGGCTGCAAAACCACATGGGGCATTTGCCTTGCAGCTTACGAAGCTCATCCTTGTAGGAAACGTGTAGGACGAAGTACCTTCTGTGCTCTGTGATTAAAATATATACATATATTATATATATATAAATATATTTGGATAGATATTACTTCAAGGATCTTGCCCCTCATCCACATTCACTCTGCACCAAGGATTATTTCGGGTCCTGAATAGCCAAAGAAGTCAGTTCCAAACCAAGCAATTCCAGGATTTTGTCTTAGGGCGAGGCCAGCTCAAGGGTAGGGTGTAAAACACCACAAAGCGGTTTCTCACGGGTCAAGTGGCAGAAAAACCTCTCTCTGCAACCCGTTTCAGTGTCTGTCCAGACTTGGAAGAACTGCAAATAAACCTTTCCTTTCCCTCGTGAAGGGGAACAAGCAGAGCAGCTGCTTTTAATTTGAGTTTATGCAACGGTGCAGACTGGCTCTTTCACCTTAAAACTCAAAACGTGTGGCAACTGTGTTAAAAATGGAAAAACTGGTGATTTAGTGTGGAYTGCTGTGTTATTAGCGTTGCTTCCTATATTATTAGCGGTGATGAGAGCAGACCTCGCCGGCGCGGGCGCCGCTCACCTGCCGGATGCCTAGGCGGTAGGCCAGGATGCGGTCCACGGCGCCGGGGTTCATCTGCGTCCACTGCAGGCTGTACGAGTAGACGCGGGGCCTGTTCTGCCACAGCGGGTTGTAGGTGTCGTAGTAGAACTCGGGAGCGTAGGCCTTGCCTGCGGGAAGGGCACGGGGAGAGGCCGTCAGCGCGGGGCAGACACCGGGACACAGCACGAGCGCTGCAGGAGGGAGCTCTGCACTCTGCGTTATGATCCTTTCTAAAGCGCATCACCCCTAAGGCTCAACGTTGCCCCGCTTTCGTGAGCTTCAGGAGTGGCCTGAAATGAGTTTTAACAGGTGCATTTGGGGAAGATGTTTGTAGCCCCAGTTTCCATCCCGAGAGGGGAACAAAGGCGAGATCCAACTTGTCTCTCCTGAAGCAGAAACCCCCTGCCCTGCCTCCTCTCTCAGCATCCATAGCAGTCCGGCCTGCACAGGGAGACTCTGGAGAGCTGGGAAAACAAGAGCAGAACTTTAAAATCAACCAACACACCCACCCGCTCTGGCCTTCAATCACCGGAAAGGTAACAAGAAGAGGGGAAAGGAGGGGAAGAGTGAGAAAGGAGGAAGGAAAAAATAATAAAAAGGAAAAAACCCTCCAGCACAGTACCACTGATTTTCAGGACAAGGATGATGATGGCCCAAGGGTTAATGGTGTGGTCACAACATGGTCACAACCTTTGGTTGGACAAGAACCAACGCCGGTTTGCCTGGAAGTTTCCTAGATCCAGGACAGCCCCAAGATTTGCCCRTCTCAGACGACCCAGGTGTGAAGTTTGATGCTCAGAAACAAATAATGTTTTCTGCTTTGTGAAGYTGTAGAGCCCAGAGCTTTGCAAACWCAGAACACAAAGGCGGTTTGGGCGCCCAGCTTTGAGCACACGCGCGTTTTGTTGTGTTTACTGTTGTGTTTACTGACAAGTGTTCACGTGGACGTGCCCCCCCACAGGCCTTTTCTTTGGGAAGGATGAGAAGCCCTTTCATTTCAGGGAGGACAGCGTGGCCAGGCTCCCAGGGAAGCCACATCTGCGACTGGGCCACATCAGAGCAGATACCCTGGTGCCGAGGAGCAAACACCACCGAGAGGAAACGAAGCCAAGCAACACCGCTGTTCTAGAAACGAAATGCAGGATAAAGCAGGAAAGGAAAAAAGCACAGGTGGTCGATAAGATTTGTTTCTTTGTTTAGGTGCAGTGGAAATAATGAAGAGCTCATGCTGGATGCAAATGGTAATCCCCCCCGCGCCGCTGCCGATGGACTGAACGGCACCTCCGGGGGCTGCAGGAGGCATCCCTAATTAGGCACTCGCCACACACGGGCACCGAACAGCAGAGCCACCTTTCGCGAAATAATGAGGGCTCCCGAAGTGCTGCATTATTGCGAGGCCACGCTAACAGGAGAGCTGGCTGGTGTGAGTGGGAACGCTGAACATTTAACAACACAGCATTAAGTCCTTCACTTGAAAACTCGGGCAGCACCGAGGACGCTGGGCAGTGTTTCAGACACGAAAGAAGCAGACGTCCCCTTTGAAGGGACAGGGGTGAGCAGACACGTGGACAGCCCACCCGGGCCCGGGACCCCATCCTCCTTCAGGAGGAGCCCCCTGGTTTTGCTCCGCACGTGGGAGACGCTCCGGCTGCACCACGTCCCTGTACAGGCACACAGGCAACCTTCCTCCCCGAGCCTTCGGCTTTTGGAGCCTTCACCGATTTAGGAAAAACCCTCCGCACAAACAGGCACATTTTAGGGAAGCACCTCTCTCTGTCCCCTATCACTGCAGAACATTTATAATTAAAATGCGGACACATTAACTCCTATGAAAGCCCTGAACTCAGGCATGCAATACTGGATCTCAGGCAATACTGATGAGAGGATTTGACTGTGATTAATCAGAGAAGCACAACAGGCTGCATCTTTCAAGATCCCCTGCGAGTAGCAGCTCTCAACACTGTCCCCAGTGTGCCCTCCCGGTGGGCCAGGACACGGCAGAGCCCTCCCAGGCTCCGGCGGAAGGTGAAGGCCACTGGTGGCTGCTGGAGCATCATCCCCACCCTCATCACCAGCTCTGGAGCTTCCAGGAACAAGCAGAAACCCGGAGGTGCCGGCACAGCTGCACAGCCTGGCACTTCACATCCCGCTGCCTGGCTTCTACAACCCCTTACCTGAGCAGGAAACCACCTGTTTTACAGGAGAAAGTAGGACAAGCCCAGGGAAACTTAATTAATAATGCGGAACTGCTAATTGAAAAATACTTCCATACAACAGAATTTTATGTTGGTTTGGGTTCCATGGTTTGTGCTTTTTTTATTTTTTTCCCCTTTTCTTTCCTTTCTGTGCTTGGTTGGGCATTGTTCAAGGTGGGCTTCCTTCACTCCTGGTTGTTCCCGGTGGTGCTTCCCTGTGGGAAAGCTGGACTTTGGGAGAACAAGGCTGCCCATGGGGACCCACCCCGAGCCCCATTGAAGGAGCAGCAGTGGGAGAAGGGGCCGTGCAGGAGGTCRCAGAACCATCCCGATGGCCCTGGCCACCACGACCACCGCCGAGCCCCCTGGATTCATGGAAGCACCAGCAGCACGGCCGGGAGCTCCCCAGGAGCCGCCGATGCACAGGGAAGCCCTGCACTATGGTACATAACGGCACTGGCGCCTGCACCTCTGTTTCTGAAGAAGAAATAGTTTTCAGTGTAATGGGAAAGGGCTTCTCCAACACGAGCTGCCCAAGCCCTAAGCACGCCCCACGTTCTCCAGTGTGCAAAAGGGGGGACAGCAGCCCAGCTGTATTAACCATGCAACAGCAGATGTGCTGAGCGTTGCTATTTCCCGATAGAGTCACCACGTTACAGGGCTAATTCTGCTAATTGCTCCTTTCTAACGAACAGGGGGCTGGATCAGGAGGATCACCTGTGGGTCCCGCCTGGTAGGGAGCGAGMGGCTCCTCTCCCCCAGCACCCGTCCTGAGCCCTTCCACCACCCCTAGGAGCCCTTGTGTGGGTGCCTGCCGGATCACTTGGACTCTCCAGGCAGCACATTCAGGGATATCCATATCCCGTTCAAGAAAGTCCCGCTCCAAGCGTGAGGCCAGGAGTGGTGGGAGAGCCCGTACGGAACTGACTCAGAGAAACAGGCAAGCGGGCGGGAAGCAGCAAACCACCACGAAGCCCACACCTCAGTGCTGCTGGTAAAATCCTGCCACGTCTCGCTGTAGCCCGTGGGATTCTGGAAGATGCTGAGCTACTGTCCCGAGAAGAAACGCACTGAAGCTTTGTAAGCAGGCCCTGATGTGGTACCTGGTGGGGAAACACCTCTGCCGCCCACCCGAACCTTCCTGCAGATCCTTACGGGTTCTCAGCTGTTTACCCCTTAGAAACTTAGAAGAAAAGAAGAAAACACAAGTCTGAGGGAATTGTTTCCATCCTGTGGCCAACATATGGTTTCCAAAGCAACAAAAGAATCAGGAAGACGTGTTGCAAATGCAAATGATGAGTGCAAACACACCGCACTGATCTCGCGCGGCGGCACCCAAGCGAGCAGCCTCAYTGCCTCCCCGATGGTCCCGGCGGGCGAGGAGGAGCGGACGGAGCCCCGGCTTGGTGCTGSTGCCGGCTCGTGACGCAGGAGCCAACAGCAGCAACTGGAGCAGGCGGTTTCTGGAGACGGAGCACGCAAGGAACCTCCTCGTGTGGTCTGTCCCTGCTTCCCCATCCCCACATCCACTGCTAAGGCGCTYGGCACTGCATGGTTTGCAAATGCAGCATCTTCGCAGTCTCCCTTCCATGTTGGCAGCAAATATGCACCTCAATGTCGCGTGACAAGTTGCTCAGTGTAAGCCATGATCGGGGTGCCTTGCACGTTATAATAGCAGCCATGAATGTTTAGGGAAAAAATAAAACAAACCCAGAGATTTACAAATGCCGCCCGTTTTGTCAAATTCAGCTCCACACTTTCTGCCTTTAAAATGCATAACAGGTATAAAGCATAAACAAAACAATATATTTAACTGTGTAAAATTCCAAGAGATACAGAATTTATGAGAAGTGCTACCTGCTACTCCGCTCTATCTTATTACAAGATATATATATATTTTATGAATGATTTTCATAAAGCACTTTCTATTCCTTATCTGCATATGCGAAAGGCAACTCGTGTCTTCCCTCTCCCTCCTGGCCCTCCTACCGACCCAAACCCAATCCTGCCACAACTCTGGATCCAARCGTCGCACCGACGGCGGCCCGTGGGTCCAAACAAGCCTCGTCATTGGAGCTTTGTGCCTTTTGGAGCATACCCGGGCAGGTGGCCAAACTGCAGCATTCCAGGGGTATCAGGAACGCATTTCAGCATCTAGGAAAGCCCTTTCCTAAGACTTTTTGGCCCAAAGTGCGTTTAGCAATGAACTCATCTTCTTTTTGCCTTCATCCCATTGAAAACTCTTCCTGTTCAAGGACCAGAACCAGACTTCCATGCCTGTTTTCCTTGACTTTCATAACAGCTTTAATAAAATAGGCTTCCTCTCTTCTTCTTGAGAGCTTGTTCTGAGTCCCACATCAAGCCTCTCGGCTCTCTGCGGGTCCTTTGCTCTTTTATACAACTTAGTGGCTCCACGAGACTCCACTGACGCTCCCTTCTAGCACTCCACATTTCACATGCTACCCGCTTCATATCAAGACCTAACAGGAGTCTCTTTCTTCACACGAGTTACCTCTAACCGAAATAAAAGCTTTGCTCATTTCTTTGATATCCCCCTCTGGCGATGCAGCCAGCAATTCCCCTTTCCCAGCTTATGAGCACCACCATCCTCAAGCCACTTACTTTGGCATTATAGTTTCCTTTTGGCACTTTGTGTTGAGCCTTAAATCTTTCAAGCTCTACAACTACCTGGTGTGTTCAGACTGTGCAGGCTTTTAAGGCCCTGCCTGGCCATAACTCTCAGACTAATGTTAAGTGGCCTCCACCAGGTCCTCCCAAYGAGGGATTCTGGGCACTGGTGCTGTCTGGAGCCCCATTCCAAATCCAAAAACCACTGTTATTGCCACCCATGGCCCCATCCGTAGAACCAAGGAGAACTCTGCCATGGCAGCTCATCCTCACAGGAGCAAGTCAGCCGGGAAACTACTGCTGGG